GGATAAAAAATAGTCAAAAAAAAAAAAAAACAATTCATTCGTATGTTGAAGCACACATCATATCAAGCTCAAATCTAAGAGTTGCTATTATTTATTTTTCTACACATCATAAGTAGATTCTTTGATAAAAAACCGCAGGGACACAGTAATCAAATGTTTTCCATTTAGCCAAACATTAGAAAAAAAAAATTTTTATTCCTTTCTTCTCAAGACTATAATCAAAATAATGAAAGATTAGATAATCACTTGTAATACTATGAATCTGACGACAGCAGGATATTGCAATATTAAAGTATGACTCCAACGGCAATGCTGTCCAATGGTCTTTATTTATTTAATAAAGCAACGTTTCGGCTACTTAAGAATGAAGCCCTTTTCAAGCACTATAAATTTCATACAAAACATGACAAAATTAATAAAAAGGTAAACAATTACACAATCGCTCGTAGTTTAAAATACTAAAACTTACAATTATATCACAGTATACAGGCTTTACGTGATCGCTTACATTTGTCGAGATCTTACTTAATTGACTGTAGCCTGTAAGCGACTCGAACATACTAACGAAAATTAATTTCTATACCGAGGACAGGTATCTATGAACCAGGACCAATACCAATACATACATGTGCAAGAGTTGAAATGGTTAATGTATGTATTAGAGAAGGCGTAAACTATATGAAATGATAATTCTGAATAAAATTTATTTAGTTATTATGCTGTTGTCTGCGGCTAGTGTAAATTACTTTTGATAAATTCTTTAAAAATTGGTAATAAATTTTGTGTATCAAATTGTCTATTCAAGTTATGGATATTTCTACTTATGTGTATCATTTCTGACACCTCACGCCTACTCCTTATATTTTCAACATCTAAAATCTGTACATTACTATATTCAAAATCTACATTGTGTCCTGAATCTTTCAAATGGTAATACAATGCAGATCTGTCATCTTTTTTCTTAACATCTCTAATGTGTTCACCAACTCGTGTTTGCAGAGTTCTACTTGATTGACCTATATAATACCGATGACAATCTAGACAATTAATTTTATACACTATATTTGGTTTGTAACGCGGTTCTATTTTGTCTTTACCTAATTGATTATTTATGTTAATTTTATTAATGTTTTTAAAAATGACGTTAATATTGTACTTTTTTGAAATCTTCTTTATCTCATATTCATAGTCTTTTGAAAACGGTAAGAAAATATAGTCATTATATGGGGTTGTACTATGATTTTTATAACTATCTTTTTTATTCAATATGTTTAGTCTTTTTTTAATGTATGTATCAATAAATTTTAATAGATAGTTTTGGCTTTTAATAATTTTTTAATTATCTCAAAATTTTCTTTATGGAACTTATTATTAGACAGTTTTATATTTTTATCTACTAAATTATAAACTATTCCAATTTTTTGTTGTAAGGGGTTGTGTGATTCAAAATTAAGATATTGTCCTGAATGACTTGGTTTTCTATACCAGTTAGTTATGATTTTGTCAGAATTGAAGTAAATAGTCATGTCTAAAAAGTAAAATTAGATAATCACATTCAATCGTTAATGTATCATGTATAGCATTAATTTGACATTTAACGTTCGAGTTTAAGTTTTTCAGCTCACATGGTGCAACAATTATTTTTGCTTGCATGGTGATGCAATTGAATATTAGTTATTAATTATGAACGACCCACTTTGTAACGCAAAACATAGAATAATGATGCAATGGAAAATGCAATAAAATTTCTTAAAAATTTAGAATTGATAAATTAATCTTCCTAAGACACCATACCCAAAATCACCTTGATTTATTTAATAGGGGAAGGATCAAGGCCTATATTCGATCGCGATGAATTTAAAAACGGTCTACCTGTTGAAGTCGAAGAGCGTCGAGTCATCAGGTCCACGGACAAAACTTTAGTTAGAAAATCTCACTCAAATCGTCGCTCGAAGTCGTTGAGTCCCAAGAGGTGTCACAGTCGCAGTCCTCATCACCATGCCAGTTCCCGATCTCATCATTCAAGGTACACTGTGAAAAATCTCCACGTTATGGTACATCTTCAAAATCAAATCTGGTTATAAAAATCCTTCGTTTTACAGGTCGGATGCACATCTCGAGAAACGTCATCTGGAAGATTTCCATAATAATGATTATAAATCAAAAGAAAGGTATAATATTCATGGTTACGATGCAAAATAAAAAAAAATAAATAAATTACGAGCTTAATTTGTTTTAAAGAACCAGAAGTCGGGAAAAATCGAGAAGACATGAAAGTCCAAGACGCCGATCTCTTTCGCGACAAAGGGATCATCATAGATCCAGTCGAAGTGAAAATGATTATGAAAAGAACAGATCGAGGTCTCGCGATCGTTCGTACGATCGGCGGGACAGGAGAGCGTACTCTAGAGAACGACTTTTTCACCCAGCGTATGAACCTCTGCCAGTCGTCTATTACGAGGTTGACAATTTTATCATATAATTCGTGTTCGATAGTTGAGTTTGTAGTTTCCAAGAAAGCAAAAGATAATTTTATTTTTCAACTTTAAAAATCGTTGTTTAGCCATATCCCAGGCCAATGCCAATGCTACATCCTGGCAAAGGACCGATGATAAGGCCCTTAATTCGTCCCGGTCCTCCGCAACCGATGCACTTGCCCTACCCGCCAAGATTTCTCGGCCCTCAAGATTTATACGGAAGCATGAGACCGCCTTACCCAAGTAAGCATTCGTTAGTCATACAATTCTAATGCATGTAATATTTTTTTTATAAATGTGTTAAACTTTATTAATTGTTTCAGGATTTCCGTGAGTGTAATTTTTCTCTCAAGTCTACGGTAAAAAAAAAATTTTTTTTAAATAGGATGATTTTAAACTAAGCGTCTGCATATCAAGATATGTTCAATGAAGTCATGATTTTTAATTTTTACGAATGAAGATAAATGCCATACGTATGTATAAGTTCTTAACAATTTATTTTTAAAATTATTGTAAATATATTTATCAGGGATTATGTGCATTCCAAGTTTATGTTTTCTATTTTATGTAATGGACACTTGTATTTTTTATACTGATATCGGTTACAAAGATTTACTGATTGAGTTACTATTTTAATTTTTTTTTTTAGTAAGAAAAAAAATAATTTTTAGGATTTTACACTTTAAGAAAATTAGAATAAGAGCCAGCATTTTTTAGAAATCAAATGCACAACGTCAATTTTGTAAATATTGCATGGACGTAAATAAAAATCTTAAATTCTAGACGAAGTTTAAAAATGGTTTTTTTTTAAACCTTCCTTCCTTTCATTCTATAGTATTTCAAACCGTAATGGTTAATATATTCGACAATCTATATATTATAACATGATTATCGATATCGCTTCGGAAGTATCAATATAATAAATCTCCACACCACTTTGGCACGTAATACTAAACCTTTTCCCCAAAAAAGAACAGGTGTAAACACACCTGAAAAAAAAATTTAATAATAATTAAACGTCCAATTTACCATAAAACCTTCAAAGGCCTCAAACAAGTCAAAAAGAATAGGGGCGCAAAGGCATCGCAACAAAACCATCCGAAACAAAAGCTCCGTTTCTCCCCTTTTCCCGTTTCTTTTTCGTCTTGACTCGCAGATCAAAGCTAACTCAAACCCGCATGGAGAAAAAAAGGAACGCCACTCCCACTTTTTTTTCACTGCAATGCATGAAAGAAAAGCAAAAAAAAAGAGGATAGAGCCAAGAAATCCAAAGTTACAGTGACGGTCAAACGCCCGCTTGGTGTTTTCAAACATCGGTATTGTCCTTGTGCTTTCGACTCCTTGACTCTTGGAAATAAAATTCACGCGAGTCTCGATGCGTACAGGATTAAGTACAGGAAATAAAAGAAATGAGCTAAAAGCTATTGCGAAAAGTTTACTTCGTTTGGTGACAAAAGCTGGAGCGCCACTCGAGCGAAAAATGTAAGGGGGCAAGAATGCTCTTGTTTTATAGAATCACGTGTGTTTGCTCTGATTTTTTTTTTTTTTTTTTTTTTTTTTTTTGCTACAGTTTTAATTCTATATGTAGATTTTATATACACTTATCCTGTAATTTCGTCAAAAAGGTTTATTTGTGCGATGAAAGGTTTTTCAAAAAATAAAAACACCTCACTGTACGTACTTAATGGACATTACGTCTGCCCTCATCAGTCATCCAAGTAGAATGTAAAGGTTATATAAGTAATTAATAAAATATTCTTTGAATTTAGGTATAGTAATAAATTTAATTTGATTGTTTCATTAAATCTGTTCATATTTCGATTCACAATTAAATTTACAACAATTAAATAATTGTTCGTATAGTTGAAAGTTATTTCCATGAGTAAAAAAAGTTGACTAAATCGAATGCATTAGTGCATTAAATTATAATAATTTTAAACTCATCATCAATATATGGTGATTGTTTTTAGATTCAAAATTAAAATGTTTTCTTAAAGTTATAATTAGAATAATACACAATCCCATGAAGACGTTGAGTTGTATTCAACATTCACATGATTTAGTAGTCGTTTCTTTTTTAAATAAGGAAATAAATAAATGCAATGAGTAACATTTCTGAGTAATGCACAATTTTAATTTAACATACAAGCAAAGAAAAGAAAACGGCTACTTCCTAAAGACTTTTTTTTCTGAGTTTCCCCAGTAGATCTTTTCTCACAAGTGCCACGGAGCATCAGTAACACACAAGGAGTAATTGATGCTTCCGAATGAATCAAGCAAGTTCATCCGTACATGATTAAAAAGCCTTAAAACGCGGCACAATGATGCTTTTATTGTGCACTCTTGATAAAAAAAAAAAAAAAATTACTGCGCTTGCCCGTGTGATTTTGCGGTCGACTCGGCAATTATACCAGTGCGCAAACAACGAGCCGAGCCCCTGAACGGGGTCACGCACTCGAAAACTAATTTGCCCTTTCAGCTTAATTGAAGTGCAGTGTATGTGTAACTTTCGCCACACAATTCTCAAACTTATTGGACGGAACGGTACCTCAGTCCAGGTAGATTAGCGGATACGTTGCCTGAAACACTGTTAAGTGGACTTATCTAATTTTGTCGAAACTATCGCTAACTAAGTCTTTTCTTTTTCACGTGCACGTTTTAAATTAATTAATTTAATTTTACTCTAATTTAATATTATTTTCATCTCAAATGATGTATAAAAAAAAAAAAAAAAAAAAAACAAGCCACTAATTGTACCTGAACATTGCGTCATATAAATTTCTTTCGTAAAAATAAACAGCCAAAGCGTGCACATACGGTTACTCGGCTCCCTGCGACACATAACATCAATCTCGCAGCATCAGCGGGATTTCAAATGTGTCCCTATAATTTCTCAATTATCGCGTATTAATAACGCGACTAAATATCCCGCTCGCAGAGAGCGTGTCGCGCGCGCCACCTCGAGCCAACAGAGATCCATTTATAATCCTCCCAATTAATTAAAGCGCTTGACCGAGCGACCAGAGCACTGCTGCCTAAACCTGTTAATTTTCAAGAAGTGTACTATGCTGCATGAAAAGCCGGAACGCTGATAAAATTTTATTTTTACGCATTAGTAAGAAAAAGTGTATGTGGATGCGTATGCAAAGTCAAGTAAGATTGAAGAAAGTGTATTAAATACTTTATCCATCTCTAATTTGTTGGAGAAAAAGAACGCAAATATAAAGAAAACATTAGATTATGAGGAGTCATCCTGATAAAGCTTTCCCAAACTCCAAAAGAATGGTAAAAGTTTGGAAAATATTTTTCTTAATAACTAGGTAAAACTGCGTATGAAAAAATATACGTTTTATAGTAGCTTTAATTCAACTTTTATTGAATATTTTTACAAAAGAATTAGTCAATATGGTAAGTATCTAAGTGTTTAATTTAACCACCATAATCAACTTGACAATGATTAATTTACATCAAAACTTATTTGTTTTCACTTTTCTCGACATTACAATCATATTTTCTTTTTATTACCTTCTTCTCTCGAGGATTCCGAAGAGTCGCACACATGGATGTCAATACTTCTCTATACTCTTTGTTATCGATTTTATACCTTTGTTCGCTGGCATTATTGTTTATAAAATCTAAGAAATAATATTAATGCTTTATCTGAATGCTTAGAATGAAATTTTTAAATCATTTTGAGTTTATTGACTCATACTTTTCACTTCGGTATATATTTTTTCAGGTATAGGTTTCCATCCATTTTTTCCAGTTGGTGAACTTTCCTTCAAAATTTTTTCGCCCAATATTAATCTCATCAATCTCCTGACCATCTCCCTAGGATTCTTTTGATACAGTTGTTGTATGTATTGAAGTTTTTGATTATCTACAATAATGCCAGATCCTTTTGTGAGTTCAATCTGTAAATAGATAGTTATTAAATTTTGATTGACATGCTAATATTTTAAGTATGACATATTCTACACGAAGCTGAATAATGTCACTAACTATGTCGGTACTTGTATCAACCGAAATTTGTGACGTAGAATTTGTTCCATCCATATCCTAAAAAAATGGTAAAACATTGTTTGTAACTTATGATTATAAACGTAATGATATGAACATCTGTTACATAAATTACTACAATAGGTTCTACCTGATTATATTTATTTTGTGCAGCATGAATAGTTGTCAATAGAGCCATCAGCTGGTTGACTTTAACAATGTCATCAATTGTAACTATAACATAAAAAAAACGATCAATTCGATATTTTTTAACGCAAGACAATATTTTTGATTGGTACTAATGTTAATTAACTTATTTGACATAATACCTTTAGGTAATTGAGAGCATATGCATATTTTCTCTTTCCTGCCTTTTTTTCCTTTTACATTTCCTTGGACGCTTGGGCGTAGAAAATTTGCTGATGAATTTTCATCTCTTCCGTTGATACACTGATTTACAATTAAATTGTCCACATTTTCATTTTCTCTCTCTTCATCTTCTTTTCTGTTCTCTTTATCTTCTTCTTGATCTTCATCTATTTGATTTTTTTTCTCTTTTAAGGTTTCTTCTTTTTCTGCATTATTCAAATTTTGTTTCGTCTTCTCTTGACTGCAAAATTTGTTTATACAAAAAATTTAAACAATGCTTAAAAAAATGTTCTTGAATAAACTTTTTATTCGTGTGTAATACATTTTTTCTATAAATTATTATTTTTATAAAAATATTTAGTAAAGTCCGGCGAAGTCGGTGGACTATCATTCACATGGGATGCGAAAAATGTCATGCTGATGTAGTATATTATATTTTGAATCTCAGAAAGCAAAACTTAACTTTTCAGAAGATTGAACTAAAATTGTAAAAATTAGTATTATATTATATATTAAGTGAAATTCATTACCTGTTTGTTTCCATCTCATTTTTTCGCGTATCATCAGACTCATCAGTGGTGTCATTTAAAGTAAATGACCCGATGGATGGCCACCACAGAGAGCTGTTAAAAAAAAAAAAATTTTTTTCAATTCAGTGTCTTGTCCATTCAATATTATTCGCTGACTTTGATACCTACGTTTTTAAAGTTTTGAAGAAAAAAAAAAATTTAGTTAATAGTTCACGTAATAAGTAATTTACCTTAAAGGGTCAGCATTCTCCAAAGCTACTCGAGTAAAAATACTCTCGTTTTTTTCTTCCATAACTTCTTGCCTCAAATCACTGTATTATGATTGCACACTTTGATTAATTTTTTTCTGTAAGAACTTAAATTGAAGTTGATGACTTTTGATGAGGTGTGAATATGTTTCTTGTAACACTGGGAGTTGAACCAATATGCAATAGTTA